ATTGAGAAGAAAATTCTTAATTTGAAATAATAATTATACAAACGTTTCGAGCTCTACTTGCTCCTCTTCAGTGCGCAAAAAAATAGTAATAATAAATAACGATAATAAATAAATACATAAAATTCTAATAAAATCCGCAATACATAGTCAATATAAGTTATATAGTTGAGTCATAGTTAAAACGCAAAATATATTTACAATGAATTGAGACCATTAAAATAGTTCAACAAAGTAAGAACCCAATTAGAAGCAGAATGATTCGTCCGGTTATTCGTAAAATATATTAGAATTATTAATAAAACTTGGAGTGACACTTATACATTACTCCAAATGAACCACTTATCGTTATTTGACGAAAGTCCCTCGATCTGGTAATGATTATGTTCATCCTCTCCAAATTATTTGATATTTGTTAAAAATTGTTCCGAATAACTTGAGATGACGATGCTTCTAATTGTTGTTGGCCTTATTGTTAGTACTTGACTGTCAAGTCAAGTATATTATAATTTTTAAATAAAAATCTCGCAATTTTCGGCATAAAAAGTTATTAGGATAAAATGGTCAAAAAATGAAGCTTATGAGATATTTTATAGTTAAATTTGACATAATTTTACATAAACTATGAAATATGTCGAACAATATTATTTATTTTCCGATTATCTAATCTCGATACTTTTTTTAAGTCGAAAGTTACGAGAAATCAATTTATTTAAAAAAAAAAAAAACTTGACTGTCAAGTACTAACAATAAGGCCAACAACAATTAGAAGCATCGTCATCTCAAGTTATTCGGAACAATTTTTAACAAATATCAAATAATTTGGAGAGGATGAACATAATCATTACCAGATCGAGGGACTTTCGTCAAATAACGATAAGTGGTTCATTTGGAGTAATGTATAAGTGTCACTCCAAGTTTTTATTAATAATTCTAATATATTTTACGAATAACCGGACGAATCATTCTGCTTCTAATTGGGTTCTTACTTTGTTGAACTATTTTAATGGTCTCAATTCATTGTAAATATATTTTGCGTTTTAACTATGACTCAACTATATAACTTATATTGACTATGTATTGCGGATTTTATTAGAGTTTTATGTATTTATTTATTATCGTTATTTATTATTACTATTTTTTTGCGCACTGAAGAGGAGCAAGTAGAGCTCGAAACGTTTGTATAATTATTATTTCAAATTAAGAATTTTCTTCTCAATAATAAAATAATATCGTATTGCTCGTTACACATGGCCTTAATTTAATAATTTATCATTGTTGATATAAAAAAATTTTTATTTATGAACAGTTATTTTTAGAAAAAGTATGCAGTTGTACGTTTGCAAATTGCAATTTTTGTTTTAATTACAAGAATGTTTCTTAATTATTTAAAGCTTATTTTAAAAAATGGAATATCCTGTATATAAGCAAAAAGAATAAGAGAAAGAGAAAGAAGAAGTAAGGCTGATAGATAGTAGAGAATGTAAGCGGACTGTCGATAATCACAATCAAGCATTTTTATAAGAAAGTAATAAGAATGTTTAATTGTTTGCAGTCTCGTTTTTCCATGAAAAATTCACTTAGTGTTGGTGAAACTAGATATATACAACATGTTTACTTGAACTCGCACTTTATATTGACACTAATGAAATACGATTCAATTATTTTTATTGATTGCAATGACACTACGATATTTACGTCCTTTTAGGTGTAATGTGTGTGCATTCGTAAACAATGAAGGTACTAGCCGATCTGTGTGTGTGTATATATGTGAAAACCTCTTATATATACATATAATAAAAATTGTATGTATGTGTTTACACACAACACTCAAAACATATATGTACACGTACAGACAAACACACCTATAAAAACATTTTGCAATATTGTAAGATTATATCTATTGATTTGTTGCGCTTCAAAGTGCAAAATCGAATGGAGCCGTTTCCACTGATACGTAAATTAGATTGAAACCACATCGAACACCACGGAATTTTCTTCGTCAATTATTTAACATAGGAAGAATCTCCCACATCAGTGTTTGTTTCGACGGTTTAAAAAAAACAAGTGCGACGAATGGAAACCTGATATTTAATTATGTTATTGATGATATTAATATTAATATATTCGATATATATTGTTTTGAAGTTTGCTCACTATTCTTTTTAACATCCTATCCAAAAAATGTATTTTGATCATTTCACATATTATATATTTGTATGTGAAATCGCATATAAGACGTATTTCACAGAAAATGGGAATAATAATGGAAGGATAATTTAAAATGTGAAAAGATTAGATATTTATAATTTTTCATGTGATTGCTTTGATTTATTTATTTCTTCAGCATATATACGAAATATATATTGAACATTATAAATTTTCTCACATTTCGTTGACAGATATGTATAATATCACATGTATACATATATCTTTTTTTTTTTTTGAGAATCTCACAAAAATTCTCTCGCCAAAGAATCTTTATGTAGCAAAAATTTAGCTAGAATCTTATTTATTATTGTGCAGCTTGTAAAAAAACGATTATCGCTTGCAATTATTTCTAAATCTACGTGTATGGACGGATAATTGTATTAAAAATATAAAAAAAACTTTTCACTAATTGTAAGAACAAATTTGGTGAGATCACCTTACTTAAGAAGAAGCAATCGTAACGTACGTTCTCTAAGCGATTGGAGCGCCATCTCTAGGCAGGTAATGTAAAACTATGAAGAGTATCTTGCTAAAAGAGGAATCTTACTAATCTGGCTGTTCGGAACCAGTATAAACTGTAAATATCCCATGCATGCCGCAAAAAGACTATAAAAATGCGCAGACACACATAGAGGGATCATCACTCTCTGTCAAGAGATATGAACTAAAAAGAAAGAGATAAGACGGCGCGTATCTTGGCAAAATCTAGAAAAGCTTTTACATGATGAAAATATAATCTTTTAAACGCCAGAACACAATCGGATCTATTGTGTATAAAATCCATACGTTAAATATATTTGCTATTAACGCACTTACGAGTATTTTATAATTATAACATACTCAATTTATAATTCGGTGAGGCTTTCATAAAATATACACAATCTTATAAAGTATTATTAATCTTTATACTTTTAATACGCTTAAATACTTTTAAGAAAATCATATATAACATATTGGACGTATTTTTGGCAGTGTAATATTATTTGCAACATAATCTTTTGAATTCGCTGCTTTTGGTAACTGCCAATTTTTCTGATGTTACTAGAATACGACATATCTAAAAATAATTAAAAAATTTGTTCGTTTTTCTTTGTACAACTCTTACACTTAAAAAAGAAAACTTTAGGTAGATCATATATATGTATATAAAGACAAATTTAATTTTTTAAATATTGGATTTTTTACTTTTTATTATACATTCTTGAAACTAACGTCAAAATATATAATTTTCAAACTATAGTAAAACCTTTTCTTATTTAGAATTTTCCAAGTTACATATATTGACAATTTTACAGTATTTTCAACATATATTTCGGAAGTCACACGATCAAATAATACTTAATTCTCTTTCTCTTTATACATATATATATTATTATTTGTTATCAACTACTAATTCATTAAAAACATGATATAATTAATATTCTTATATACTGTTACTGATATCCTAAACATTAAATTATTTGCCGAAACAGACCAAAATACATGTGCGTGCGCATTAAAAAGAGAATGAAGGGGAAAAGGAAGAAGGGGGAGGAAGAGAGAGAGAGAGAGAGAAAAGAGAGAGAGAGAAAGAGAGAGAGAGAGAGAGAGAGAGAGAGAGAGAAACTGTCAAATAGTTTAACAAAGAGCAATGAGATGATATAATACTATTTTACGAATATGAGGTCTGTTTTTATTCTCACAGCTTCGTCATAATAAAATTAATAGTAGTAAGAAATTAATTTATTATTTCTAGCTCTTATTTTGCTTCCTTATGTTAAATATAAAATTAATATTATTAAATCTCTATCTTCTGTCTTGTTTTCCCTTAGTAAATATTGATCGTCATATTTTCTTGTGTGTTCAATAATTAACTTGTATATTAAATTTTTAACATTTAGATAAATCATTAAACATTCATTATAAAAAATTTTAATAAACGATTACAGGATATCAACGACCTTTATCTGACATAAAAATGAATACGCATTTAATCAAAGACAATATAGTTATTAACAGTCTATTAAAAATTAACTATTAAATACTGCCTGTGAATATAATTGGGATAAAGCAATATATTATAATAAAAAAACCGTCCTCTTTGGAACATGTAAAAAAATGTATAGTACAATAAAAAAGCGTGTCACTTCCAAAAATCATTAATAAAAGATTGATTGAATTGAATATTGAGATCTTTACATTATAAAAAAAGCGTTTTTTTGAACATGTATGTACAACATCTCAATATAAAAATATGAAAAAATTTATTAACACAATAATTTAACTTTTTGACACTGTACATAATAAATATTTTTTCGCCGAGTTCAAATTTTAACAAGACATAAGTAATTTGAGCTTATATTTATCGCTATATATATCGATAAACATGTCTTAGACGACACTATAGCAATATTCTGAGCGCACATTTAGCAGCATTTATAGAGTCACTATTTCTCATCTAAATAAAACGCGATTTTATAAAAATCCTATTCTGAATCATATTTATAACATTAATGCTATTTTTTTTATAGAAGTGCTAATAAATATGAAGAGCACCCAAGTATAACAAGCTGACGTCATTAGACGTCAAAATGACATTCGACATTTAAGGACGTCACTGTGACGTCTAATGACATTATTCGACGTCTGATGACATTATTTGGACGTCTGATGACGTTATTCGACGTCAACATGACGTACGCTTGCTACTTAGGCATTTTTAGATGTAATGGCGCGATCCTACTTGATGCTTTGTAAGTTAAATATTAAAAGTTTTAAAGTTTAACCTCTAAGTAAATTAAAATTTTCTATCATTATTAAAGAATTTTCCGTAGACAAAAAAATATATATATAGATGTAGCATTTTTAGCTGCCTATGAAAGAGCTGATATTAGACATAAAAGGATCAAAACACACGCATAAATATGTGTATGAATAGGACTGACTATTTGTGATTAATAGACATTTTTCATACTAACAAAATACATATATACAATGATATTAGATAAATTCTTAATTTTCCTCGATTTTATAGTACAGAAGTGTAAAAAGTATAAAAAATGCAAATCGCATTAAAATAAGTAGATTAAAGTGTTAAGTGTAAATATAAAGCCATATGATAATCAATGATTGTACAGTACTCCTGAATTAAAGATCGTAATTGTACGATAAGAATATGATAGATTTTGTTATTGAAATATTATATATCTGCTCTTTTAAAGTTAGCAATATAAATGTGCTAATAAATATGAATTCAGAATACAGGAATCGTAATTTTCATTAAAAACAATACGACAAATTGCAATTTACCCTCATCCTAATTTCATCTTCAATTTTTGCATTTTAAAGTGCCCCTTGGTGGTGAAAAAGTACATTTGTACTTTTTCTACATTCTACTCTTAAATTCCTTTAACAAGATATCGATGACATAAAAATCAGAGAGTTATTTTTTATTTTTAAAGCAATAAAATCGCCAGTACAAATGTACTTTTTCTACATTCTACTCTTAAATTCCTTTAACAAGATATCGATGACATAAAAATCAGAGAGTTATTTTTTATTTTTAAAGCAATAAAATCGCCAGAAACCACTTTGAATCTGAAGTTTCAAAATTTAAAAAAATAGATCTAATTCAGCGAAATCATGTACGTGGAACATTTTCTATATTTTCAATTACAAAAAAATCTCAAAAATCGCTTGAAAATTTATGTAAAACTGTAAAATATTACATTCGCATATGTAATCATTTCAAGCGCAAATTCTGTCGATTTGTTCAAAAATCACTTACTACGTTAAATATTTTATAATTACTGAAATAGCTTAATGTGTGTATATACGTATTAGATTACAATTTCATGAACTTTTACGTGAAATGTAAAGTTTTTTTTTCAGTTCTTAGACTGCATTTGTTTCTAAAAAACAACGTAAACGTCTCACAGTCCCTTAAACATCTCTAAATGTCTTTAAGATGTCTTTTTGGCCTTTTTGTGCTTGTCTAAGTTATTATATCTAATAACAAAAATCAGTGTTCTGTGTGTATATTCTTTCTGTGTATATATTGTTATTTGTCGGTTCATTCTCATTCATTTCATGTAACAATAATTAAAATTTATTGTATATTGTGCGACAAGAGCTTCATTTAGACACAATACTATTGGACAATTCATATCAACCAGTGCCTTGGATAACCAGCATAATTGATCAATAAGAGAGTCCTATATTCAACTGCTCAACAAAGGCAATGTGTCCAATGTGTTAAACACATTCAATCGAATATCAATTCTATCTATGCGTCCACCCTGTTACATGTCATCATCATCATAGTCCTCAATCCGAAAATTGAACGCATATATGCATTCCTTCCTATTTTGGGCCAACGCATCACCCTAAAGATGAAGCATCCCATGTCTCCGACTACTTTCGAGCAGTAGTTGCGTGTAGATTTTAACAATTTTAATTCGTTGCTCATCACGCAAGCATGTTTCCTACACGAATGGTTTAAAATATTTGATTGTGCAATAACTGGCAGTGTTCGTCGTTAAAAGAAGACATTTGGCACACCCTTTGGTCGTGCACCCAAATTACAGACAACGCTGATCTATAACCCTATATTAACCCTTTTTTTCTTTTGGTAACGCAGGGGAAACCTCCAAGGAGATACCCTATACCCGCGGGAACGGGACATATAAGAGCAATTACATCGCTGTTTCCAGCGGTTGACTCTTACTTCGCGCAGTTGCCGACAGTTGCGTGAGTTCCGTGGGTTCGCTGATCAAAAATGCATCCAGGTTGGTTTCGAGCAGGGCCTCGCTCTTGGAGCGCAGCGGCTTCTCCTCGCCTATGTCAAAGTTGGTCTCCAGCAGCGCCTCGCTCCTAGGCCTGCTCTCGACCTCGTAGCTGTACGGATGCGGCGGTATAGGCGGCTGAAACTCTGACGAGTACTCCGGAACAGGCTCGGACGCTTGACTCGGCGTCAACGTGGCCGTGTAAGCGCGTCTCGAGTCATATTCCACAGGATCGTACGCAGTCGACGCCTCGATATTATGCTTCAACTCGCTCATCGAGTCGGTGAAACCGAGACTGGAGTGTAATGGTAGCGTGGACGCGTTGTTGAGATATGAACTTTCGTGGTTGAGGTCCACTGTTCTGGGACTCTCCTGGTCAATCGAGGTCGACTGTACGTTCGGTTGCGACGGCCAGTTAGACGCGACCCCGGCTGCGGTGTCCCTCGCCGTGAAGGTGGAATGATTGCGGAAACCTTCGTTGCGATACGCCAAATCGAAGACTGGGTTGTCGACGGTTTGTGCTGCGCCGTGCTTATGCGCTGTGTTCTTGAAGTCACTTGTACTCGGCGAATATCGCAGATTATGGGCTTCGTATACGTCGTAACTCTGATTGTCCTCTATCGAGGAATTTAATTGAGACTTGTCCATCGAGTCCAGACTGCTACCGTTCAGCATGCGCTTGTAATCCAACGATTTCGAGTTCAACGTGTCCGTGGAATGTTTGCTCTATAAAGCACATTTTAAAAAATTATAAAAATGTTGATTTTCTTAAAAAATTAAAATAAAATAAAAATAAAATAAAAAGTTAATTTCCTAAACTGTGTTAAAAGCATGCGGATTTTAGACTAATGTGTTGACATTAAACGTATTAAAGCCTGAAAAATTATACTTAATTTTATGAAAATCGTGAACTATTTTTACCGGGATAGGTTTCCGCCGATAAGCGAGCTCCGTAAAGCCAGATGTGGAACCGATTGATCGTAGAGAGTGTAAAGATTGTCTGATGGAATTACGTCGCTCTAATCTCTCAAGTTTACGCTTCTTTGATTTGGATACCCATAACGCGATGGCCGCAGTTAGCAATGCAAGCGCAACGCCAAGAGCTCCTAAAACACCTACCGCAACAATATCTTTTCTCCATGATAGAGGGTCGATGTTGACTCTCGGATCTACCAAAATTCAAACAAAGATTTTTTATAATAATCACGCATATTTTTAAATTATAATTTATTTTAATATTATTATACAGATACGGGGGTAATTTTTAATATCCTAAATATCTTTTTTCCTATCAACAAAAATGTTTTGTATAGAAAAATCAAGAAAATAACTAATACATATGATTGGATTTGTCTCGATGAGATGTATAACTTTTATTTTTAAAAATTGATTTTTATTTAAAAAAAAATAATGATTGATGAATTTCTCAAAAATGGCACCAACAAATTGATATCGCTGTCTTGTGTCACCCTTAAAGTGAAATAATTTTTGACATTTTTTTTTTTAATCTAGGAAAAAAGATTAGAGTGGGACAATAAAATGGCCCATTTGTATATTTTATCTGTTAATTTGATATCCTATAAACGTACCGATCTCGCAAATGAACGGATTGGGTTGTGCGCAATGATCAATCTCAATGGTTTGATACGCAAACACTGTACATTGGTCAACTCGTTCTAGTTGCTGCACCCAAACACGCTCCGAATAATCAAACCGTTCTTGTTGTTTGCGCGCAAATCTCCAGAGGTCCAGATAATCCCCCATAATATAGGGCATCGATGCGTTCACCGACTTTTGAAATTATATATATATTTTTTTTTTAAATCAAATGTATTACGTATACACACCGATAAAATCATTATTTACTCACTCTGCAAAAATCTCGTGCGCTGTAGAAGTCCATAAGGGCGCCGATTAATATATAACACGTATCACCGACGAGGTCCCAAGCGGGCGGACATTTACCGCTTAATACAGACTTATTATTCATATGATAAGGTTGATAATCGACCTTCAATAGCTCGGGCAAATCTCTACGATCTCTGATACGCCCAGCCACCGCCAAAGTCTCGTTGTATCCCCACCAATTGTAACGCGCGTCTATGTGAGAGCTCCACATTTCTAATAGGCTAAACAGATTTAACGATTTACGTGTTTATAATGAGAATCTTTGCTTTAACTTTGCTATATATAGCATAATCTATTTCAACCAGCTTTGTTTTGACTTACTGAGATCTGTTTGTCGTGAGCATTTCATAATCATTGTCAGGATTAAAGAACACATTATCAACATATTGCTGTCCGGGAGTACCAGCAACAATAGTGCTACGGCCTTCGCGATCCACCGCATAATTTCTAAAAGGTTATAAATAATTTATTATCTCGACAGTTTATGATGGTTTTCTATAAATAGCTTCCGCATGTTGAACAGGCTTTAGAACAAAGTAAATAGCTTTTCCCAATGAATAAAGAAATACGAAGCAAAAAGAGTATAGCAGAGAAAATCTATTACTCACTTGTAAAAGCCATTGTGAGACGTGCTTTGATAAATAGGTAAACGAACTCTTTCGAATCCCGAGATCTCTAATAAATGCATACCGAGGTTTCCATGTAAATAATTGAGCGTCATATTACTGACCACTTGCTTCAAAACAATGTTATTGTCATAGGGAGCATCATTTTTGGTAAAGTAATTTCTGAATATAGTGACTTCTTGATAAGGACTACTTTGACGACCTTCGACATATCTGAAAGCAGAATGTTATCTTTCGTCTTAATACAAAAAATTATAATTTGATGGGGCGAGGAAACACGCTAAAAATTCGTAGATGCTATTTCGAAATAAAGAGATATTTCGATGAACAAACACTTCGATCAGTTAGCTTTAAGCATACTCTTAAAATATCTCTTCTTTTCTCTTTATAGACTAAAAATTATAGACTAAATTTATAGACTAAAAATTATTCTTTTTTCTTTATCAATGAACAACTATTCAAGGTATTTTAAAAGTGTGCTAAAGTCATTTGAAATAGTGTTTCATCGAAATATCTTTTAATTTAAAAATGACATCTAAGAATTTTCAATGAGTGCTTTCTTGCCTCTGACGTCACAATCTAACATGACCGCGAAGACCTATAAGCCTTAAGAAATACTTAGACACTTTCTAAGACTTATTTCCCACGTCAAAATAAAAAATAAAGTTCATAATAAAGTTGAACTCTCATCCCTATTTAATTATCACATACTTACAATGCTGGTTTATTGAAATTTTCCGTGAAAAGGTTATTATGAATCCATCCCTTGAGGGATGTGGCCGAGCCTCTTGAATCGGCGCGAATGGAAAGACCGCCTTGATTCCTCTGCACCAAATTGTTCTAAAATGTAAATTTAAAAAATTCAAATATTTTGTGGGCTTTTTGAACAAATTTAAAAAGAAAAAGAGAAAAAGAAGAAATAAATATAGGTGTTGTCTGTCCTGTTCGAACTTACCCTGAAATAGAGCGATTGCGTGTTTTGAACATCGAGCCATAAGGCGGATTTACAGGTGGAGAAGTTACCGTATAACTTTTGACAATTGTTTATAAACTGATTACGCTCGAGCGTCATTATGGCATTCACTTCGCCGGCACTTGCGTATTTTACGGCGCCCTCGCGACAATTTGATACCACAGAATAGGAAATGTTGTGCTGCACGTCACGATCTGTTAATTGCAAAAGTAGTTGAGCAAATTGAAGAAACGTAACGAAAGAGTCTGAGATATATATAAAATGACTCATTTAATCATTCGAGACAAATATTTCAAAAACTAGAAAGATACAAAAAAGTTTCAAACCAAAGTTTTTTTTATTTAGGACATAAGATGATGTTATTGGTTTGACCTTGTATAATCATTTAAAGGTCACTTTCACCTTCTTAAATGGAACCTACTATTTTTCATTGCATATTCTTGTAGCTTATCTCGAGAGCTTCCAAAAACACTTTAATAAAATATTTTTCTCTTAAATCTTTTTTGAGTTATTAAGGTTCTTTTCTAGGTTCTAAGCCAATTTTTTACATAAAATGTAAAATAACTTATAAAATATTCAATTTTCGATCATCTTATCTTAATACTATTATGCGCGAAATAATAAAATCAAATAATTATTTACAAAAAGTATGTAATTTACAACAATACAGCTACTTTTTTTAAAAAGTAACTATGTGTTTTCTTTACACCAGCTGATTGGCCTCATTATTTCGTACATAAAAGTATTAAGATATGATTACCGAAAACGGAATATTTTACAAGATATTTTACATTTTATGTCAAAAAATTGTTATCTTCAAACTTTATAACTCAAAAAATACTTAATGAAAAATATATACTTTCATATCAAGAGAAACAAACTCTACATTTCTTTCTGGGCATGTAGAAGAGCTATGAGCAACACCTGGGGCATAAAACCCAGAGTTGCTCTATGGATCTACACAACCATTCTATTGCCGAGATTAATGTATGCGTCGATAGTCTGGTGGCCAAGAGTGGAGAAAGTGGGCGCAAGAAACCTACTGAAAAGCCTACAGGGTGGCTACCTGAGGGCGGCAGTAGGGGTCATGAGAACCACTCCCACAGAGGCGCTGGAAGTAGCCCTCCGTGTTTCTCCATTGGACCAAAATATAATCTGTACAGCCAAAATGTGACGGCTTACAGACTATTCTGTCAGAAAGAGTGGAAATATGCTGGGCCAGGTCATACAAGGCTAAGCTTTCTTCAGAATAGCCCTTTTTCGATGAAACAAGACAGAACATCCAGGAAGCACCATCAGAGCAAAAACTTCAAAGTTTTTACACCGGATAGGGCAAGCTGGAACAATCGATTTTTTCTAGACCGCCTGGGTCCAGATGTCTAGTTCACGGATGGCTCAGGCAACAATGGTGGCTTTGGGGCAGGTATATATGCACCGAAGAACGACCACAAAATCAGCATCTCTATGGGTAAGCTGGCCACGGTCTTTCAAGCTGAGGTCTTAGCTGAGGTCTTAGCTCCTAGAATGTACAAACATACAAATTACTGCCAGGGCAGACAACAAGAACATAACAATATGTTCTGATAGTCAAGCAGCCCTGGGTGCTCTTGCAAAGCCCTCCACGGAATCTTCTCTGGTTTGGAACTGCATGCAAGCACTTAACAGACTTGGGGAAAACAACAAGGTTACCTTGATGTGGGTACCAGGTCACAGTGGCATACAAGGCAATGAAGTGGTGGACGGATTGGTGAAGGCGGGTACCCTTGAGGAACCGACCGAACAGATCGTTGGAGTCCCCTTTACCTTGGGCAAAAATGTTATTAGGGAACAGCTCCGAAGCAGACATCGGGCCTCCTGGGGGAGCGCACGAGGATGCAGACAAGCTAAGATCCTGATTAATCAACCCTCATCTAGTAGATCAAAAGAGCTATTGGCTCTCAATCGGGGGAGACTGAGACTTGCACTCGGTCTTCTCACAGGACATGTGACTCTCCGGGCTCACATGTTCAACTTAAAACTAGTTGCGCAAAACACATGCCGACTATGTGGCGAAGATAAAGAGGACAGCATACACATCCTGTGCCGCTGTCCAGCCCTTGTCTGGAAAAGATATAGACATCTAGGGTCCACATTCATGGAACCGGATGAACTGCATAATCAAAGGATAAACAACCTATGCAATCTGGCGATAAACGCCGGATTGGGTTTACAGGGATAATCCTCAAGCACAGCGGGGTGTCGCAAAGGAACTTTTAGATCTAGGTGACCTTTAGGGACTTTATATATAGCCCCACCCGCTCTTCCTACTACTACTATACTTTCATATAGTGTTTTGGAAAGCTCTTGATATAAGCTACAAGAATATACAATAAAAATGAAGATTTATAATAAAGAAATTGAAAGTGACCTTTACGTGACCTTCAAATGACTATTCAAGATCAAACCAATGGCACCATCGTATGTTCCTCTTTGAACCAAACATTTTTTGTTTGAAACGTTATCTTTCATATTTTTCGAGATCTTTGAGTGTCTAAGTTAAAATGGGACAGCTGTATTAAGCATGTATAACGTATAATGTAAAATATTGAAAATAATTAAGATTACAATATATTGTACACTCACTAAAACCAATAGCAGATATCGGAAGAGTCACGATTTCCGCGATAAATCCATGTACATTACTGGCGCCATTAGCAAAGAACCTTATACTAAGACTGGGATTGTGCGTTCTGAAGAATTTCTTTTCATCAGAAGTGTTAACCTCCAAGTGGCCAATTCTCTTGGTAGTGACATTGTAAATGTCTCCATCATATAAAGTTATAGCATCGGCACGGCCCGGTTTTCCAGTGGAGTTGAAAAGATTGAACTGTAAAAGTCTGCAAAGCAGAAAAATATTTGTTTATTTTTTTTTATTATATTGTACAATATTTGCCATGTTTTCTGCAAACACGGAAGAGCTTACCCACCTAAATCCAAATGGTTTAGCTCTATAAGCGCTGCGGAAGATTTTCACACAATTCACAGGATGATTATCATATTTGTAGTAGACAATCACGCGTTCTTCGATCGTGATTTCTTTAGCGGTGTCACATATGTCGACCATACTGAACAAATAATAAGGAATATTGAGATCCTTTACGGGCGTGAACGAGCTCTCATCCGCTTCGCGGCCTTCTCCCGTCAAGGATAGTACATTCACGCCATTTCCGAGGACATTAGTAATTGTATTAAATAATAATTCCGTCTAAAAAATATATAAAATATATATATATATATGTAATTGGAAATGCAAAACATATACAGTGCTTTCCAGCAAGGTACACAGGCGATACTGTGCAACACAGTATACGATTCAGTCCTTTATTCCTAACTAAGATACAAGTCAACATTTTTACATTTTATTCCATTCTTTTTCTATATGGAATGGTGTTCCCGTAGACATAATTTTTAAAAAAACTTCAAAAATTTTTTTAAAACTTAAAAATGAAAAAATCTGTATAAAATGACTCCTTTAAGGATGAAATAAGACTCTTAAGCAATGTGCCATTACAAGTCAACACTACGTAACACTATGTTATATATATAATGATTTTCATTTAGTGACACAAATCTATAAGATTTGTTCTTTTTAGCTGCATTAATTTAGAGTTTATCTTTTTTAAAGGAATAAATCTTTCTCAATCAATACTGGCATTTATTTATTAATAAATCTCACAACGTTTCGACAAAATTTTGGTCTTTTTTAACAGATAATAATTTTGTTTATTAATTTCCGTATTTTTGGCGTATATATATTACTCTATATAATTATATTATATAAAATACGTTATTTCAGTACACTTGAAAAGGATCAAAATTATGGTCGAAACGTTGTGAGATTTATTAAATATATATTTTATAAATTAAACTTCGGCTCGTATACAATTAAAATATGTGATATAATAAAAGGCCAACTTAACGAGCTTATATGATATTATTAAAAATTTTTTATTAATTTACGTCATAATATACAAAAGATAAGATAAACGTTTCGACTGTACGACAGTCTTTTTCAATATCATGCTAATATGTCAAAAAATTAATTTAGTCATATCGACCTATTATAAATACAACATTTATGAGATTATCATATGACGAACGCAGTACAAAATTCATGTTTGTTGGCTTGAGTTAGAGCGTCAGATTTATGTATGTCATGCTGTATATTATGTAACGACATTTTTGTCACGAACTAACACTTTTTTTAAAAAATTATTCTTTTTACATAACATAATCACAATGTGTACTTTTATAAAAACAAATCGACAGATATCGATATCTGTCGATTTGTTTTTTATAAAAGTACACATTGTGATTATGTTATGTAAAAGAAATAATTTTTTAAAAAAAGTGTTATGTTCGTGACAAAAAATGTCGTTACATAATATAACAGCATGACATACATAAATCTGACGCTCTAACTCAAGCCAACAAACATGAATTTTGTACTGCGTTCGTCATATGATAATCTCATAAATGTTGTATTTATAAGGTCGATATGACTAAATTAATTTTTGACATATTAGCATGATATTGAAAAAGACTGTCGTACAGTCGAAACGTTTATCTTATCTTTGTATATTATGACGTAAATTAATAAAAAAAATTTTAATTAATATCATATAAGCTCGTTAAGTTGGAGATTTATTAAATAAATAATTATCAGTATTGGTCGAGAAATATTCCTTATTCCTTTAATTTTTTGACTCACGACGCTAGAGAATCCTACTCAATATCTTTTTTATTCCACTTTGAAAGGAAAAAGATAAATTTTAATTTATGTCAACTTATATCACTAAATGAAAAGCACCCAAATATGATTATGTGATTGTTAGAAAGCACTCACTAATTGTATATTTTGCATAAAACAAATGACATAATTTTCTGAATGAATTATTTTGTATGTACATACCGTGTGTGTGGGAGATACGACATTGATGCCGTGATAAGCGCTGCGATCTATATTAACGTGTACTATCGCTGGAGATTTCATGATGGACTGTACGGCGGACGATTTTTCGTAGTGTAAAATTCCAGCGCCGGTTATATTGATGAACTTGAGAACCGACTCGATACGTCTAATTGTCTCATGGGTCACAATGTTGTGTATGCGGTGCTCGTACAGATGATGCTCGAATTCGCTGTTCGCAATACGTATTCCGCCCCAATAATCGTATGCGTCGTTCAAGTTTCGCTCGCCGCAATGCAAAAAGACAAACGGTCCGTCCCACGAACATTCGTGACGGTGACCGAACAACTGACCGTTCAATCTGATCTGGCAATCTTCTAGACTCTGCTCTTTCCCAGAACACTGCGACCCAAAGAAGATCGTTTAAAAAAATTTATTTTCTAAAGCAAAGATCCTAAAATGAAGAAACGAATCGAATACCTGCAGCGGTTCAGGCCAAAACCAGACGCGCGTCAATGATCCAGTATGAAGTTCATATCTACGATCGTGCGATACGTAGACATTGAGAGTATCATAACCAAGTTGCCGACATGCCACTTGAGCATTTCGCTCGGTAAATCGCTCATCGCATATAGGGATCCATTGAAGAGTCGTTCTATTAAAATACTCCAAAAATCCTATAAAAAAAAAAAAATATTTATAATACAACCAAATACTAGATAATACGAAGGATATAATATGTGGTCTCGTATAGAAACAGATTAATATGTGAAAGGATCCCCCAGGTTCAAATCCGGTTCGAGCCTAAACACTCCGTATACTTGCTTCGAAAAAAGAATTGTGGAAGGAGGAATGGATTTGGAAAGAGAAGAAAGGAAACAGGGTTAATAATAAGAAAAGAAAAAGAAAAAGATAGAGAAAGAATTTGATGGGAGAACAAAGAAGATAAAAATGAACAAAGAAAAGAAGAAGAGAAAAAAGGGAAAATAAGAGATCTTCAAGATCAGGCTGTAAAAAAAAGGATAAAGTAAGGAGATTAATGTAAAAAATCAGATTACGCTTCTTGTAACCCCGAGGGGATTCCCTAATAAATATCCTATCCTACTAAATACGATAAAAAATAGTGAAAAATTAAAAATCTAGAAAAGATTGATATAAGACGAAAAACAGATAAAATATGAAAGGACTGTCAGAGTGTCACCGAACGAAATGATGAGAGTCTTTTGAATGGAAATATTAATATTTTTGACTCACCTTCATTATTGGTTGCAGAGCAGCGTCCATCTTTGCATAAACGAATCGTTTCATCGGACATTGAAACGAGATTAGGAGAATTCTTTATCGGCGCTAACTTGACGAATGTGGAATTTACACTTGCATCTACTCGTTTCATCGGTCTCATAATGATTTCGTGGCCGGGCGCACCTATAGCTTTCAACGTTCCAAGGACGAGAATTCCAACGTTAGGAGCGAACTCCATCACGACGTCAGGATAGATGTGCAATGTAGCTTCCGGCATAACCGTGATGTCGGAACGTATTACGTAAGGCTCGGGTCTCGCGTGCAATGAAAGATTCTCTATTATACGACCACCCAAATTATCCAAGTCGATGTTTGACTTGTATGCCACGAAGCAGAAATATGTGAATCGAATGAGTCGCGCATCAAGTATGGCCGATAATTGGCTACGGCATGATCATTCCAATCGTCAAAATCAAAAATTCTCTGTCTGTGTAAAAAAATATTTTAATTAGTATGGTCGAAAATTGCTGAAACTATGTGTTGCAACGAGAAGAAGATATTTCATACAAAAGTGAAAAAATTTCAAGGGAAGAAACAGTTGATAATTAAATTTCAACTAAGGTTATTTTTCAAGGTCATTCAAAGGTCAACCTAATCTTAATACTGAATTGAAATAAAACTCGCACGTATGCATAGAGTTCATTTATAGTGTATCTAAATGAAATTACCTGATAATAGCATCATCAGCAGTGCCCCACCAATTTTCCATGACGTCTACTTCGTTATTAATTATCGCAGTTCTGATACCCGCCAATAATTCATAATCCAACGAATTCTCACCGAATAAATTTTTATTAACCAGTACCTTCTGTATACCGTGAAAACCGACAACGTAGCTAGGATCGTCGAATGTCTGTCGCGGTCCCATCCCGATATAGTCGTACGTGTTTCGTTTAATCTCGTTGTAATAGAAACGCGCATCGACGTTGCCGAGGATCTCGGACTGACTGTTCGCGCGGAATTCGACCATGTAAGCGCCACTATTGCCCTCGATACGATTATTGTTGATCCTGATCTTCTTTTCCATCCCGCGCACGGATATCAGACCAGTCTTGCAGCGATTGCTGTCGAAATGATTGTACGATATGTTTAGGTGGGCGAAATGACCGTCCACCACGAAGCCGAACTGCTCGTTGTTGCGCCAGGTGTTATTACCGAAGTACAAGGAATGAGTAAAATTCTCGTTATACTGCCAGACGTCCGGTAGCAACACCTCGAATCCACCTCCACGATTCCTTTCGACGGTGGTGTCCTGCATTATCCAGTGAAAGAGATTGTTCGAGTGTCTTGCGTCACGGCTGAACTGATGAATCGCTTTACCGTTGTCCGTGATCAAACTGTCATTTATATAGATCGAGATTTCGGACAGATTTGACTGGAAGATGTTCCAGTGAGGTGAATACACGTATATGGCCTCTTCGTGATTGTGCGATATCTCGCATCCGATCAATTGTATAGTCTCGTTCGCTTTTCGGAGAAAGTAATCTCCAATTTCGTTCAAATAACGATTGTAGTAGAACGCGAGTAAGCCTTTCTGATTGCTCTTGATTTTTGTTCTTGCGATTATCAACGAAGGAATAGGACCGCTCACTATTTTATTGCGTATGTTCTGTAAATGTAATATATTATCATATTATAATTATTATTGTTATTGTTATTGTTATAACTGTATAAACATATTAATGTATATATTTCTATAAATATAAGATTCACATATTTAAAGCTAAAACATATACCTGCGCTGGAGATAAGATCGATGTGATAGCCATGACAGCTCCACCGAGAGCATTCTCGCCACTTTGGTACTCTAAAATTACTACATACGAGCTGGATGAGACAGGAAAAACGCTTAGATCCCGTTTTACGTGCCAGCTCATCTGATTATTATTAAGATGCTGCGAGTCATACAGTATGATTTGTTCTGTGCTTTGATTCTCGATTGGATTTAGCAATTGGATACCGATTACGTAGCCAGGAGTGCACTATAAATTTAAAAAAATCATACATATATATTTGTACGCAAAACGTCTAATACTTTTGTGTATATAAGAAAAAAGGAACTTACTTTAATATTTATGGTACGACGAACGGGTTTGCGAGCGGTTACTTTAGTCGTTATAACGTATTTGGTTTCTCCGTTAGCTAGTTGAACATTCTCATTCGTTTCCGGTAAGATTACAGGATCGTAAGGCGAATCGATCGTGCTGTCCGGAACGCGCAAGAACCATCCCGCAAATTCTCTCTGCTGAATCGCCGAGAGTGCGGGATTGTGTCTTATTCCGGCGACCTTGTTGCTCTCAATTCGCGAGCTGATTATTCGCATCCCCAGTTGCTTGAAACTGATACCGCTCCCCCCATTTTGGGAAAAATCGCTGTTCATCGCAATATTTACGGCGTCCGCTGAATATATGTCGGAATACAAAACTCCCAATCCATCTTGCAGATTGTTAATGACCTTGACACCGTCCAACGAATGCCGAGCAAAATCAATTTGCAAAGCTGTTAGAAAAAAATATAAGTTATACATATATATTTGATATTTATTTTTTAATTATTATTAAAATTATCATTAACGAAAATTAAAGATTATTTTATATAAATTTACCTGGCTTAAATGAATTTGTTTTATAATCCAGCAGGCCTGCCTTTTCGATTGTCACGTATTGCAAATCACATCTTTGAGCCAACGGACCCAATCTCAGACCCGCCCATGCCACATCCAAGCACCTAACACCGACATCGTTCGAATGAGTACATGAGTTTTCGAAATCTTGTTCTTTCTCCGCCCGACATTTCGTTATATCATTATCATCCTCGGTGCACCGAACATTGCTAAGAAGTATATCCTCATTGATTCCCGCATTCGGTATCTTGATCGTTCCATAAACCAATTCTCAAAATCCAAAATAAAACCTAATTGATGACAAACAAGCGCCGCATCCAAAATGGTCCAGCCATAGTTGCAAACAGTTCCCCATTTATTTCCGATTTTTACCTTTTACAAAAATAAAGAAAAAGATAATTACATAACTGCTGTTTTTCTTTTCCAAATTTATTTTTATTTTTTAATATTTATAAAGATTTAATAAATGTTTCTTAATACTTGATGAATAAATTTAAACAATTAAGAAACATGTTTTCTCAATAATAAATTAGGTTAACCTTCAAATGACCTTGAAATATGACCTTAGTAAAAATTTTTAATTATCAATTTCTTTCCTTCTCAAAATCAAACAACTTTTGTTCAAAATATTGTTTTTCTAAAACGCGATGTTTCTTACTTTGTAAGCTTATATTTTTTAATGAGACACCCTATATATGTAGATGTTAAAAATATATTTTAAGTAGAGATTCAAGTATTACCTGTAATCTTCCTTCGAGATTCGTTCTGCCACCGAGAAGTCTTACTGGTATTACGGACTCCATCTTGTCAATTTGATTGATATCTTCTTCCACGGTGAGAGTTTCGTTATCCGGTTCGGTTATAGGGAGCTCTTCCTTCAAAGTAAATAAGATGTCGCTAGGTTTCTTACCACGCGCGTCGAATTTGCCGGCCACCATTATTCCGATGGACGGTGGAAAGCGTAGGGTGACACCTGGTTGCAATATTAATTTGCCGCCTGGCCTTACATTGATGTCACGCTCGACAATGTATTCCCCGGCCCTTAATTCCTCGTGACCGTCAACCTCGCCACCGACTAGATTTGTGCCAGGTGTAATAAATTGCGCGACAAACGTCGGATTTGGAATTATAGTGTTCGCGCCGGGGTTACTGCTATGCAGCAAGTAAGGCAGATACTCGAGCTTAGCGAGATTATATCTGTCTTTCCTGATATAATGAAAAATTACAATTATATTTCAGATAAATATGCAGAGGACCCATTAACTATAATCTTGACAATATTAAGGTTATCTTGTCAAGATTAAGATTAATTGGGCATAAAATAAGTTTTAGAAGATAACGTACCTGTGGAATAATCGATCAAATATTTTCTTCTCCTCTCCAGATCCCAACCAATTATAAGTGCAGTTGATAACTTTACTTTGGTCTTCCAAGTGGGAACCGATCTCGTAACGCGATTCAGGATTGTGCAAAATGTTACGGAAAACTTCGACATTGCTTGAAGAAATAACAATAACAGCGGCTACTCTTGAGCGTGGAATCAATTTGACATTCAATATGTTGCCATTGTCAAATAGTTCTCTGACTTGATTATCGCGCAAGAAGTTCCTCGTAAAGAGAACGTTTTGCACATCGCTGTAAGGCGATAAACCGACATTAACTACAAAAGTGCCCCAATTGTTGTAGAACTCGTTATATCGAATCACAATCTTTGCAGGCAAAACATTAAATTCCTCGTAGATAGGATTTTTTATCAGAATTCCACCGCTCACTTGTTCTCTAAAGTGATTGTATTCTATAATAGCGTCGAGATTGAGCGCTGGACTTAGCTGAATCCCCAATTTCGCATTTCTTATGAACGAGTTGTGTCCGATCTGAACTCTCATTAAACCATTGTCTTTCCTCCAACTGGATTCCACTTGTAGCGCTGTCTCAAGACTGGTGTTAAACCAGTTGCCTGTTATATTTACGTATGAATTGCCGGTTGAATTGCCGATCTATTGACCAAGAAAGTGTCAATGTTAACTTATCGCAAGTATCAAGATACTTCATACAAAATCATAAAAAGTTAAACTTAGTAGCGTGATAGGGCAAATATATAATTAAACAAGAGATTATATCGAAAAATAAGTAAATTGTTAGATTCATTGAACAATTATTTTTGTATTAAAACAACAGCCGTTTGTTTCTTTACTATTTAAACCCTCGTACATATAATACAAAACATTCATAGATATTCTACAAGAAAGGGACTTAAATAGACATAATGCGATTGAATACAACCATTCGACTGCCTAACACGATTGACCAATAATTAATAAATAATATGTCCAATTGGACAGTCCACCTTTCTTTACACATGTACTTACCAGAACACCAATATCCTTGTTACGAAAAATCTGTGAATATTCGATCACAGTCGACTGATTGAAATGCACATATTCAGTAGCGGAGCTGTCGTTCAACCATACCGCAAAACCGAAACCACTATTAGACGATATACTGCTATGTGATACGTTACGATTGCCACCTGTAACGGTGATATTAACACCGTCCCCTTGATTAAACGAAATACGACTGTCGGTGATGTTGACATCCATTGCGCCACCTAATACGTGAACACCGGCCACGTGTTCATTATTCGATACTGAAGTCTCATGAATGTATAAGGCGGATCTAAGCTTCTCTGCGACAATACCGCGGCCATTATTGCCTGCTATCGTACTGCCAGTTACATTGAGATCATACGTTTTTTCTGCGAAAAAAAGAAACGACAACATTAAGTATCGATGTAATTTGAGAAGAACTTGTTATCTAACAAGGAACTCTCGCAAATCTAAAGATTTTGATAAAATTAAAATATTATTTTAGAAAGAAGTCAAAGTCACAATTTCCGGTTTGCGAGGTTTCTTATTATAAGATAGTGCGTAAAGTTCTTTGACTTACTATAACCTGACGACAATCGCACAAACACAATAGTGTCTGTTCGAGCTTCAGCTACAAATTTTATGAAGAGATACTGACTCGTCGAAGTTACACTTGCGGTAATGTTCCATTTCTGACCTTAACTTTAGCCAAGGGTTTTTCCATCCCACGCATATCATCGTACACTTCCACAACGGCGCTGTCGTTTCTGTCGGTTCGCATTTGCAAAAAATGCAGCGTCAGAACATGCCCCGGCGTTGTAAAGATAAGCTGTGAATATTATTAATAACTTAAGAGTTTAACTAGGCTCTGTAATATAAATATAAATTTAACATATATAAGATAGGCAATAAGAGCCAAATCGCGGATGACAGTGCGTTATTCTAAACGAAACTAAATTTTTTCGTTAGAATTAAATACCTGTGCACTTTCGGATCTATATTTTTCTCTCGCATTTATTTCTTTAGGGGGAATAGGGGGTACATGGAATTAAAAATCTCTTGTAGAGATTATTCCAATTTTATATCTTGGCCGTGTCCAAGTAAAATTTGGTGCCTTGTGCACAGGTAATTCTAACGAAAAAATTTAGTTTCGTTTAGAATAACGCACTGTCATCCGCGATTTGGCTCTTATTGCCTATCTTATATATGTTAAATTTATATTTATATTACAGAGCCTAGTTAAACTCTTAATTTATACACGCTGGCTTAAAGGCGTTTATTTACCAACATTAATATATATAACAGAGAAAAGTATAGAATCGAAAGGATCTGAATAGCTCAGTTGGAAGAGCAGTCGCCCGGCAAGCGAAAGGTCTCGGGTTCGATTCCCGATTCTGCGACTTTCGGATCTATATTTTTCTCTCGCATTTATTTCTTTAGGGGGAATAGGGGGTACATGGAATTAAAATCTCTTGTAGAGATTATTCCAATTTTATATCTTGGCCGTGTCCAAGTAAAATTTGGTGCCTTGTGCACAGGTATTTAATTCTAACGAAAAAAATTTAGTTTCGTTTAGAATAACGCACTGTCATCCGCGATTTGGCTCTTATTGCCTATCTTATATATGTTAAATTATATTATTAATAACGTTTAACATTATCGCTTCATTATTGAGATTTCGAGATGCGAAAGCACAATCTATTGATCCTACTGATAGAGATTAAGTATAATAATGCTCACTTGTGGACATTGTTTTACATGGGCATATTTATTCTGTTCCATGGATATAATGACAGGAAAGGTTTGACTAGTCGTCATAGGAAAGGTGCACAGATCAAATACGTCGGTACGATCCAACTTATCGTCCGGTCGTTCATCCGAGTGCACATACTTTATTCCATCCGCTCCATTTTCAAGTATCGTACAATCATTGATATTCGTCATACCGGACGAACTATTTACATAAATCCCGTAACCTATAACATAAGTGTACAAACTATAAGTGTACAAAACAATATTTTAATCAATATAATTTCCAAAGAAATAGAAGATACAAAAGATATTAAAGAGCTAATAAGACGCAACAAAATTGTTTTTAAATTCCTCTTTAATTATTTTAAAATGTTTTAATCCTTTCTTTGGATCCTTTTTTTGAATCTTCAGCAGATTGACTAAAAAAATTCAGATGAGTTATATATAATATCAGTGACTTAGTTTCTTGATCAATCTACTGAAGATGATTCGAAGAAAAAACCGAAACTTTCAAAATAATTAAAGCCATATATTTGCCTAATATTTGCTCCTAGTTCTTATTAGCCTTTTTATATCTAAATTTGGATTACAGCTTTTTCAATTTATTATTAAATACAAGATAAATAATAAAACAAGATAATGTTTTTTACCTCTATTATATTGCATGGTACAGTTGTTTATCATGACTGGTGCATCTGGTGAGGTAACATTGATACCTGTGTAGGCAGAATGAAGAACAGAAATCGACTCCATTATCGGTGGTACCCCTTTCACGTGAACTGCCGACGTTAGATTATATTCTCTTCCAGTCCCAGCATATCTATTTATTGGATCAAATATATTAGATCATTTGTATTCATATATTTTGTATATTGCTTAAATGTCCGTCGCGATATTTAGCTTGAAAATACTCACTCGATTACTGTGTTTCGCAAAATAGATTTCGAGTGACGCACATAAAGTGTATTCCCTTGAATTAGTGCTTTGTCATACAATGCATTCTCGAATCGTATTCCTCGCCAATGCTTAATCGCCTTGGTTGTACCATCGTGATGAGGCAGGCAAGAGATACCCAAGTCTGGATGATAATCTAAAATTGAATATCAATCTTTATTAATGGGTTCATATGGCATAACGTAAATTCTATCATCTCTATTTAACAACTGAAAAAAAAACACATGTAATCTTCACCACACATTTGATTTGACATTAAAATAATTTGCAACTTACCGCAAACACCAGCACCCAATTGTCTTTCTGACCAACGTTCGCAGTTCATCAGCGAAGGTTCGGTACCACGACAACTTGGTTCCTCGTAAAGAAGGCGCGGCTTGGAGGGCCATTGTCTATCGATCCAGGACCACCACTGTCCGCCCTGATAACCGAGTTGCCGACAAGCTGTCTCCAAATCTGCACGAGTCCAACTGCAATAAAATTTCTACGTAAAATATCTACATTGGGATCATCTTCATTGTTGTCGGTTGACAATTTTTTTGTTTGTTACGTACTTTCGCGAGTTTGTGCAAACGGAACGCCAGCTATCTCGATGAAAAAGCTGCAGTCTACCTGCTAACGGATTCGGACCGTCGACAAGACGTATCAAAGGTGATGTTTGAAGAGCTGGAACTTGCGTTTCCACTTCAGCCGCAGTCAAGAGAATCGGCGCGTGTGTTTCACCCTTTTAACATAAAACAAACGCCATTTATAATAATTACAAAAAAATAAATGAAATCTCTCCTCTTCCATTATATCATTATTATAATTTACTGTTATAATTACGGTTATAATTTACAGTACATCATTATTACAATTATATACACGCAAAAACAAATATTTCTCGAAGAAAGATAGAATCAGAGCAACTGTAACACAAAAATTCAATTTTTTTATTTCACTTTTGGTGTATTTAGTTGTAATCTTATATTACGTATGCAATACATTATAGAAAAATAGAAAGGAAAGGAAATTTAATAATATTTGAAGAGCATTCTTTCTCTCCCAGATGAGAAATTCTTTCTTTTGTTTAATTTAACTTTTTAGTTTCCTCTTTTGTAAAACTTAAGTCGCACATTTTACGCCTCTACACAATTTTTACGTGCGAAAGATTCCAACTACGCTGTTTGATTCGTGCCAAGAGCGATGTCGAAGGTCTTGGCACTCTGTTGAGTTTTTAAGAGGATTATGTGAGGTCATAAGTTTAATCGTGCGGGGGCAAGAACCGCTGACCTGAGACGCATCATATGAGGCAAGTTCCACTTGACACTTTGCGCAGTGCTGATGGAATCATCTTAGTCTCGCCATTCGCCGAAAGTTAAACAAAGACAAACGAGGACGCAACCGGCAAGTGGAACGTACTTTTGAAGCATTTAAAAGCATGAAGAAACAGTACTGAATCGACCAAGATAGTGAGTGGTGCGGTCTGCAGGCTGTTCTTAATCATTCGATTAGTTACTTTCTGCAAACTAACCTTCCCGACACCGCCGGAAATGTGCGGTTGCAGCTAAGAAGTATCCATTCACAGGGATTAGAACAACTGCTTGTTCCTTCCTTTAACTCTCTTTGCCTTGCGAGAGTAATGAGTGAGATTATTCATTCTATAGATTACATATCAAAACCGAAAAACACGAGTGCGACTCGTAATTGCTATGAACAACATTCAACTAAATGTGCTAAAAATATTTTAATTTATTTTCTATAAATATATATATATATATATATATATATAATATATATATTAATTTAGTAATATTGATATTTATGATTTAGTTACATTAATGAAAATATATTAAAAATATATCAATTTAGCATAATGTTTAGCAGCGCCAAATATTTTTTAATTAAAATATTTGGCGCTTAAATTATTTTTTTATTTGTATTAATTTTTAATTTAGTGTGTTTTATATTTTTTTTATTAAACTTTTCAGGATATATGGATATATGTAGTGAAATGGATGTTGTTTGTTCACATTTCCAAAGATTTTTTTATAATATATATTACATTGCAATTTAGATATTTTTTTATTAAAATATTTTTTATAAATTTTTATTTTTAGTTGACAAATATTATTTACTTTGAAGCTATAGTGATCATTTACTATGATAATTTATATCCACGTTCTTTTATTTTCTTTAATTTCAAACATTGCATATATTTAAGATATTTTAATTTAATTTACCTTTTTAAATTTTAAACTTTTTATTACATAGCGCTGTGTGCTTATCTCTATCTGTAAAGTAAAATAATTGATTGCGTGTGCCCTCTTCTTTGTAAATTGTTACATAGTGCAACTTACAATTAAAATAGCAACAAAATAATACGTAATAATACCTGCAGCACGCATTAATACGTAGACAAACGCGCTATGAATACCATTTTGTATAATACACCAATAACGCAACAATAAACGATACTCGCGTGTTCGTAGCGTTTCCGCTTAATCCGGCATTCTCCGCTCTTTGTACGAAGGGATCCCTTTCCTGTGTTACACACCCATAGCTTCGCATATTCATTCATGGTTACTTTTATTGAAAACTAAAACACAATGTCTTTTCGAAACTCTTCTTTTAGTTTGATTCTTTGATTATTAAAATAAACAAAAAAATATTTTGCAATAATTGATATTAATTGTGCTGCTTACCATTTTCTTGGTAAATATAATTATAAACTGAAAAAGTTATCTTATATATATATATATATTATATATATGTATATATATATACAGAATGACCTATATAAAATGTTACAAGCTGTTACACTCTTCACCACTGCTACAGATATTAATTTGAATTTTTTTTTATCAAATGGGACAAAATGTCTGAAAATTTGATGGATAAAAAATCAAACGTAATCGTGACACACGTTATTAAATAATTGATTTCATGGTATTAAATAATTTAAAATTATAAGTTATATGAAAAATAATTATGTACAAAAGTTGCATTATTTCGAGGATTTATTACATATCATTCACGTATAAATATACATAGTGTGTAAATTTGTTTTTATAAGTGAAGACATTTAAAAATTGAAAGTCAACTTCGATTTTCTAAATATTTTTCAGTTTGAAACTATCAAAGTGTTAATGTAAAGATTCGTTAATTGTAACATTTGTATAAAAATTATGTAGGTTTAAAATTTGGATTTTATTTTAAATGAATAAAATAAAGGATATGAATATTCAACTTTAATCAAATGAAGTTTAATTATATAAGTATAGATGCGCGTATACAGTTTCCTTTATTCGCGTGATTATTTTCGAGCAGCTTTACGCAAGAACACGTCTTTTCTCTTTCGCGGGAAACGGTCTTCTGACTTCCTTCTCTCCGAAATTGTCAACAGTCTTTTATTTTCGGTTAAATACGCGGATTATTCGAGAAGGTCGCCGTAGCAGTTACCTGCTGATTTTCGCTCGCAATAACAAGGCTATTGTCTCGACAACGAACAACACAACACGCTCAAATAACAGGGGATATAATAAATTTAGACAATAACCTGTTTCGACAACACGCATGACGAGACATAAAATGTCGGTAGGATATACTTATTTTATATTAACGGTAAAACTTCTTAAACAATTATAAGGTTAAAATAACCAAAGAAAAATAACAAAAAATAAAAAAACAAACAACTATACATTTTCTTTACACCAATTAATTCGTTTAATTAGTTTAGGGATAAAAATATTAAGATAAAATTATCCAAAAATTAAATATTTTATGAGATATTATGTATATTTTATATCAAAATATGCCAGATTAAAAGCTATAAAATATCTCGCCAATAATTCAACTTTTGGCTATCTTATCTTTATAATTTTGTTATGCAGAATATTACCAAGAATCTATTTACACAAAACACAAAATAGAAAAGTTCCATTTAAATAATCGAAGTTGACTTTGAAATAAGAAAAATTTATGCACTATGTAACGATCCCCTAAAAGTAATGCTACAAAAGTATTTTTATATATAACTATTTTTTTCGTACGACTTATAATTATAAGTTTTTCGAAGTTAGATGTCCCACCCTGTATATGTATATGCTATATACTATAATATATGCTATATATAGCTATATGTAGCTTGTTTATTTTCTTCTACAAATGTGACTTGATGTTTATAAAACATTTTCAATATATATGTATATTTCGAGAAATAATTTAAATATGAAATAAAATATTTTAATTAACTTATGGAAATGAAAATATCCCAAGAAAAAAATTATTTACGATCATGTCATCAATTATCAAACATTATTTTAGTGTTCGGTGGTATTCAATTACTGTCAGTGTTTCGATGACAATTACTTTTTATTTTCACATTAAATCATAAAAGCTCGTAAAAGTTACTAGAAACTACTTATTGTTAGATGGCTCGCTCGTTGACGATATAAGTCAACAATAATCCACAACGTGCATCCAACCATTCGATAATTATGATGATCATATACTGGAAGAATGAATTGAAAACAAAAGGAAACGATAAACATAAAATTACTACATATATATGGGAAAGGATTTATTTATACAAATAAAAGTATGCGTATTTAAAATGCGCATGAGGTTAATCTATTATTTTCAAAAGATAAAAGAAGGTATAAAAGAAGATAAAAGTAGAATAAAGAAGAGAAAAGCATTCTTCTAACATTTATATAATTTTTGTTATATTAATAAAAATTTTTTCATATATTAATAAAACTTTCTTGTTTGATATATTTATGTTATGTACAGATTAATTAATAATGATTAATTATTTATTAATAGGATAATTTATTATTATACAATTTGTATATATATACAAACAAGCGGAAACTAAAAACAAACGTTTTTAAACTTTAAATCTTATATTTAAATAATTATATGAAAATTTCAAAAGAAAAATATACCTATAATTATGACTCACATTTCTTTTTATATACTCTGCGATCTATCCACCTCTCTACATGAATCTATATAAAACTACATGTATTTTTAAAACTTTGCTGATAACGCAACATGACATGACTTCAATTTCGTTATCTCGTTATCAGTTATAAGGGTGTCAACAATGTTATCGATTCTCAACGAAATGACCATATGTAATGAAGCTTTTAGCAATTTTAAGTGTAATGGATTATTATTAATAACAACATGTTTTATAAGAATTTTCTTAATGTCAAATCACAGTGTCAAAATTTTTCTGTAATTGCAATTCATAAAGTTTTCTGAGAACAGTTTATCTTTAAGTCGATCTCTCTTTCCTATATATAATAACACGTGTACAGTTACGCTACGATGAGTCATGTTCATTCAACGTTAAATAGACACTTACTCTTCACACTTCGACATTCTTTGTAATTTTATAAGAATGCTGTCTAATTAATAAGCATGAATAATTATCATTTTACGTGAATAATTATATAATTTCAAATGAGAAATATGTTTATCAGCTCTCAATATTAAGAATATATGATATTTTAAATCGGCCAATAGAGCCCAGCCGAAAAATTATATAATTATTGATGTATCCTATATGTATGCAATAAAAGTTATCCAATTTCTATAACATATTATATCGGTCTTTTATATATATATATATATATATATATATATATATATATATTTAATATGTACAATACATTTATAAAGTCTTATCGAGTTTAATAGTTTTTTAATAGAGAGTGAATGTTTATATGTTGAACTGGTTTTGTGATATTTTATTATAATTTATGTTTAATAAAAAAACTTGTAGGCAGATACAATCGAAAAAAAAATATTGAGACAAGTTGCTAAATCGGGACTTTCGTTATATCTACGTTTTTTTTAAGTACGGAAAATAGACAAATTTATTAAAAATATAAAATCTTGAACTGTAAGATTTATTTAATTATTTGGAATTGTACGAGAAAAATTTATGTCCTGTGCACACAATTAATCAGTTTCAATGAAAATTAATTTTTCTTTGAAAATGACTCATCACTATCTGTCTCTTTCTTTCTCTAGTAAGGTATTCCCGGGTATCCCATGTATTGTAATTTCAATCTGTTGTTTAAATATATATTTTACATTAACTGCCTACTAAAATATAATAAAGTTCGTTTTATTTATTTATTTTAGGATATTTAGGATTATTTTATTAATTATAATAGGATAAATTTAAATAATATATATATATATATATATATATATATATATTTTTATTTATCTTCAAATTTTGCTTAAATAGATAAGAACGACTTTTGAAAAAAATGTTATCTTACAATTAATTTCGAATATTAATTTCCATATAAATATTGTATTACTTATATCAAAATAGAGATATGTTTGACATTAATGATATACAAGAAAAAATCTTTCACTTTTATTCTCATCTCGAGAATGCCATCATCCTACTTTCTCCAAGAAAGCATGTTCTCTTACCTTTTATTTTAGAAAAAAAGGTCAATTTTTTATTATTGCATAGATACACGACTATGTGTTTCAGAATTGATTTTCAAAATGTTTCATGACCGCTCTCGAAAACGACTTTTTATTAGTTAAAATGTCACTCGAAAAATATGTTAAGAGAAACGTTCATTTTCGTTTAAGAAACGGTCAGATATCATTTTTTTTACCGTTTTATACTTTATTCTTTAAAAAGTTTGCAATAATAATATGTCAGCTCCTAAATCATATTGTGTAATAATTTTGCAACACTCATATATTTTCCACAATGTTAATATAACATTTATAAAATTACAGAATTTTTCTTCTTTATTTTCTTCATTTATTTGAGCAATTTGTCCCATTTTGAATAATCATTTAATTTGAATTCCCTGTTAGAGAATAGTATCAAAAAAGTTAAACTGACAAAAATAATTGATTTTAATAACTACTTTTTGCACGCTTTATATAATTCTCGTGTAATGCAGCTCATATTGGAATATTTATTTTATTCCATATTTTAGCAATATTTCGTCCCATACAGCACAGATTATTGCAATTATATTGCAGCAACGTTGCAATGTTGCAAGTTGCAATGCAACATTATAAAGACATTGCAGAGATATAGGTGCACAAAATTCCAGCACACTTGTAGCAACATGACATTAATATTTCGGAAATATTGCATGTAATCCAAATTCTATAATTTATATTTGTAATATATATAAATTAACTACACGTATTTCATTAATGATTTGATTTATATACCTGTATATGAATTAGTTTATGCAATAACAATGCATTATTGCAAATTCATAACATTGCAATATTGTTGTAATTTTGTTGCAATCTTCCAAAAAGCGGACTTTAACATTGCTACAATTCAACAGCAATGTAGCAACATTTTGCAGTGAATTTGCAATATTGCAATATTGCGGTGAAAAATTGTTGTAATATTTTTGCAATCTATCGGTGCTGTATGGGGTGATGTGGAGGTGTAATTTAAACGGGAAAAAAAATATATACTAACCTTTGAACTTATGATACCGCGAACGGTGATGCCGATCATCGGAGCGAAGCGAATCTCCACACCAGGTTCTATGACGAGCTTGCCGTCTCTTTCGATGAACAAATCCTCGCGCAGCAAATAAGGACTCTTCGATATCGGCAGTATCCTTTCACCCCGAACAACGCGACCACCGTGCAATTCATGTAGACCGCCATTATTGCTCATCACGCTATTGTTCAGCAGCACAGTCGGTTCCGTATAATAAATGGACGTTTGTTCATATCTGTCGTCTAACCGGACTCCGGTTATGACGGCCAGAATCGGCAGCGAAATGCCTAACCAATGCATTTTTCGGCGCATACTTCTGTCGTCAAGTGGTTCGAATCATCGGTTTATTATATGTCACTGTATAGAATTTATCAAAGAGACGTAGCCTGCCTCTTTGTTGTCCTTTATTCGCTATCGGCGAGCGGGAAAAGTCTCAAACAATTAACATTGGGATAAAATTGGCGTCATTACAATATTTCATCGTGCGATTTCTCGATATTACACGTATAAATGAACACATATTCCAATTGAGCATTATACGACCAGGTATACACAGTAGAACGATCCGTGACAGGCACTCATGTCGAGATCAAGTTTTTGCTTCACGCAAGGAATCACCCAGTCTTATCGCCGACTAATCCTTGATGTGTCATTCGACGATCCGTATGCGTTAGACATCTTTCTGTTTGCTCACTATCGCGTAATTATGTTATATTTTCACACTGAGTATAAACTTAGACACGAGCTTCGAAGGCATATATTATCTGTATAAAGGAACATTTGATGCTCGTTCGTATCTTCGTGATAAATAAAACTGTCTCTCTAAAAAAAAACAATTAGTAAATTGTCAGAATGTTGATTTCTTAAACCAGTATTGGATTAACATAACAATGACATAAAAATTAAAAAATGTGCAAAAGAAGAAAAAAAGAAAAAACTTGTGAAAAAGAAGAGAGAGCAAACTTACGAAAAATAGATAATTAAATCTATTTTATATCATCTACGCTATCTTTTATTATTATGATAATTTATGAAAATTGAAGAAAACTTTCAAGTAATAATTCTAAATTAATCCTAATATATATATATATATATATATATATATATAACTTTTAATAGATTTAAAATCAATTTCTTTTTATATAGTTGCTACTTCAATTCAATCTTATTTTTTAAATAATTTCTCACTTTGATATTGGATATTTTATTAATAAATCTAAATTTCACATTTTATAAAAATCGATTAGAAATTTAATTAAAACTAGATTTTATTATCCATTTTTATCTTTAGAAATTTTCCAAATTTTTCCTTTAATTGCTTATAGCTTAGATATTATCTAGATTTCTCATCTTTGTATTCAAGAAAAGTTGCAGAAAAAAAAAAAAATAAATAATTGTTACAAATATATGATTTCTGTTCAGAACTATTTTAACAATTTATTATTCTGCACTCTTCACACAATAAAGAAAATATTAAAAACAGGAATAAATATTAAGCATTAAGCCTATTGCACAATACAAAAGTACAGGAAATTGTATAATAGAGAATAGAAAATATTCGCCAATAGAAGCAGATAAATATATATATTAGCACATAGTAATCTATATTATTACTTGTTCTTATTGTGATGAATATTTTCTATTCCCTGTTCCTATTGCTTGTACTTTTGTTTTGTGCAATAAATCTAACACTTAATTTTTATTCAGCCAACATTTATCTATCGTGCACAAAAGCTTACTCGGTTTGTTATTTTTCATATTTCGCACAAAGAGTCGCAGAATATAATGAATCTTCTTTGAATTTTAAATGCGAAAGGAACATTCTTCCTGGTAACGTTAGTTGTCTTTAAATTCTCACGAGTTTTTTTTATCATATATTGTTATATATCTATATACGGGGTGTCTGATATAAAGTGCATGTTACATCAAAAGTATACAAGTAGATGTCATTATCTGGAGACGATTTTTCCTCAGCAAAAATGTCGAGCAAGGCTATCATTTTTTGGATGTTGGCTATCAATTTTTGCCATCATGTATCTTTATAACTAAACCTTAAATTAAAATATTATTAAAGTAAACTCTACTTGAAATTAATAGAAGAATGTGATTTTGTTAATATTTTATTTCCACAAGGTTTAGTTTGCGAAAAACCCTTTATTTTCAATAGCTTATAACTCGAAAATTATTGATGCCTCAATATTTTTGCTGAGGAAAAATTATCTCCAAATAACAAGATCTACTTGTATATTTTCGGTACGACACTTTGGGTCGAATACCCTGATATATTGGGTTTTTTTTATTTCTTCAGCCCTAATAGTTACAATAAGGCGCTATTAAAAGGAGCATATTCTTCTTTTTTTTTTTAACTTGGTCTAAAAAACCTTCCAATTATAACCCGTCTCTTTCCCTTTCTCTCTTTATAGATTATATATATATAGTGTATATCCGTTAATATCACTTCGTGCTCTTCGCATGTGTGTGAACGCGTCGTGTGAATCGCGACATGACGCTATGCAGCAAAAGAAGGAATAAGAAATGAAAATCACCTTCCGCAACACTTGCACTATTCGCGATCACCCTAAGACGCGGAATTCGAATTCTAGCGGTAACTTTTTTATGCGCGAGGAAACAAACGAACAACGAACTGGAAGCGTAACGCCGCCGTTATTCGCGCTCCGAATCCCTCTCGTTTTTCATCACAAACGAATATACCGCGGTCATTTTTTTTTCTTTTCGGAGCAGCCGTTACTGCAGGTACGCGTCAAGATTGATTCGAAAACCGAATCGCCCGAAGTATAATCCCGCGTCACTCAGAGATCCCCCCCTCCTGCCCCTCTCTTAGATCACCAAACGGCAAACGACGCCGATCGATGGATCGTATCAAGGATCTTATTAAATCTCCTTGTCGTAAGAAGCAGCGACGCGACGCGATCGGCGAAAAAAAACCGGCACTCGCCTGCAGACACGGCTCTAGATCCGAATTGTGGGCGCGGTTTTGTACGCACTCTGTGCGTACGTAACGTACACGAGTTCCCTGTCACGATCGTTCCCTTGCGCAATTCGTTGCCGTCCCGTACTAAAGTACTACGATCACTAAACCGCGATCGCCGTGGTACACTCACTGTCGCTGGTAGCGCGCTGACGCTACACCTACTACGAATCGAGCTATAGAATGAGTCACGTGATGCACCCGAGCACGTACGTACGTCACGCAGCTTGTGAAACAGGTGAGTCTCTCCCAACTATACTGGGTGCTCCGGAAATATTAATGTCTATTTTTTGCTGTAATTTATTCTTGAACTCTTGAAACATCTCCGTAATTTTTCACGTCTTCATAATTTTTCATTTTTCGGAATAAAAAATTAATTTATTCCTTTCTCTCATCTTTAAATTCCTAAAAAATTTTATGTTAGCAGAATTTTAATTTGAGAAGTTTAGAATTATTAGATATGAAATTAAGAATTATAAATTAAAAAATTAAATTAAAAATGATAAAGACGCAGTAAACGATATTTTCTTTCTGCGTTTTTATTACGAAAAGTTCTAAAAGAAATTATGATTAAAAGCGAACAGCTGATGATTCTGGAGCATCTTATACATACATATATGCTGCAGCATCGCATTATCGTTTATCAAGAGATGTCCGTAAATCTATGAAAGAACCTTTCAAAAGGAATTTTCAGCTTTTGTTCTTTTAGAAAACAAGCAAGAAATTTTCCATTGGCATGATTCATCAAAATATTTAATCAAATATTTATCGACCGGAAAAATTAATATTTCAGAAATGTTCATGCGAAATTTATTACAAAACTTTGGAAATTTGTTAATGATTAGAAGATATAAAAAATATAAGATTGCCCAATTTTATTTAAATATTTTAATTATTATATTTTTTTGTAAGAAGATATTGATGTAAAATTATGAAAATATCTAAAAAAAACGTTGAAAATTCGATTGAAACATTTCAAAATTCTAAAAATCCAAATACATATAATTCAATAAATACATATATAATTAATATACAAAATATAATCTCTCATGTATGTTTTTTTGTTTGTATATTTAATCTTTGTCCGTATTGAAGGAAAAATAAAGAATAATTAGAAAAATAATTTGTACATTATTTTTTTAGAACAAATGAAGAAATGAGAAAAAAATACCCATATAAAATATGATTATATATTGTATAATGTATATATATAGGTATATATGAAATTTTGTATCACTTCTTCAAATTACACTATCTCTAAAAAAAATCAATTCGAAAATTTTTTTAAATAATTTTTCAATTAATTATTTTTCTTATTATTTTTCCTATACATACAAATAGCAGTTATACAAGAGAAAAGAAAAATATATAGAAATATATTATATTTTATATATAATTATATATTATTTAGATTAGTTAAATTGAATTATATATACCTAAGTATATAAACTTATTTGTTCACGAATTTTTAGTTACTTATTGTCAATTAGTCAAGTCATCATCTGTTCGAACAGATCTTTTCAAAAGTGTAAATTATTATTGTATCAGCAAAAAAGAAGGGGGAGAACTATAAAAATACAGGAATTGTAATTATCGATTAAGTCGGCAAATTGGCGACACAAACCAAACAGGATCTGCATTTCTCAGGCATTTAAATGGTGATGTATACATATTATTGATATGTATGTTTAATATGATTAATTAGTTCTTTCGTTTATTGTTATGTATTTTTTTTACATTAAAATTTTGATTAGAGATAAAATAGATATAAAATTAGATATAAAAAGCTACTATTAATAAAAGATCAAAAATGTAATTAATTGTTTTTTTTCAATTTAATTTCTGTTTGATATTTGAAACAAGCCCAAACTGAAATTCGGGCTATATTAAATTAATTTGAATCAATAGAATAAATGGAAAAACATTATCTGTTTACCACCTACTTGAAGTACAAAAGAGAAATTTAGTTTTATATAAATTATCTCGAATTTCATAAATTAAATTTAATTACTTTTATAATTTATTTTATTATTAAAATTAAATTGAGTTTATAATTAAGTTAAGTTATTAACTTATATACAAACTTACAATTTATATTTAAACTTTTCCCGATTTAAAAGTATAAGGATAAGTGCGTGTTATTGCAATGAGTAACTGATTAATTGTGACTTTTTTCTTATAAATATATAATATATATTATTATATGCATTATGTTACATCGTAATCATATATATTCTATATACATAGCAAATGATTGATTCAACTTAATTAAGTTATTATTAATGACTTATTATATTACGGTATTAATGACTTAAGATAAGATTATCAAAAACTGAATATTTTACGAGATATTTTTATATTTTATGTAAAAAAAATTGTTAACTTATCAAACCTTATAACTCAAAAGTACTTATAAGAGAAAAATACTTTATTATAGTGTCTTTGAAAGCTCTCGAGATAAGCTGCAAGAATATACAAAGAAAAATAGCAGATTCCATTTAAGAAATTAAGTGACCTTTATGTGATCTTTAAACGACTATCCAAGATTAAATCTTTACTACTATTTTATATTTTGTGTCTCCCTCGAAGTCATACAACTTTTGTTTCAAACATTTTACTAAAATTACATAATATCAAAATATTTGGCTGTGAAAGTTAAAATGGGACACCCCTCTGTATAATATTAAATAGAATTATATATCCGTTATTGTGCGATTACGTGGACTATTTTTTCCTGGAATTTTATTGCACTTACGTAACATTAGTATAACTTTTTTACTGAAATCAAATCAAATATATTAAGACTCGACAAGAGTGATAAGCAGATTCCAAATAAAGTCCCTATAGAAAAAGTATATGGATACTAATATGCACGCTTGGCCGCCATATTCAATCAAATACCGGAATTGCTTATTCGTGATTATTTTAAACAACTGTTCAGTTTCTTTATGCTCAATTTCTTTATTCATAATCCGCTCTTATATTTAACATCGTTTTATTGTAATCAGGGTAATAACTATACATGTATATGTACAAAACAAATGGAAGCTCGCTGAAAATGGCGGAACCAATCACTTCGGCACTGTCTAGATTCTTTATAGAGACTCTAACTCCAAACTGATAATAGAGACCCTATGCGGTGACAATGCGAAACCGGTTTCAGGCTTACCAACCTGAAAACAGAGGTGTAAAATCTCCGTATACGTATAAACAAACACCATTGCATTGCTCGCGCGGCTCTGTACCGCAGACCACAGAGAGAAAGCATAGAATAAGATCGCTATAATTTACATAATAATGTGTAAAACGTATACTTATCTGATTATATTAAAAACAAAAAAATTTTATTTTTTTATTTATCTTTTTTAATATAAAATCGATATTGTTCCAATTTTGTTTCTATATGTACTTTAGTCGTGAAAAAAGCATTTATTATTCTATTCAACTAATAAAAAGAAAAGAGGGCAGAAAAATTATCGTATCAGTAAAACAAAACGGTTTTAGGATCAAATATGTAATTTTCAAAATCAAATTTAAAACTTGCATAAATATTATACATAATGTGTATAATTATTATGCATATACATAAAAATATATTAATATATAATTTACTATTTAATTTATCTTTAATAATTTCATAATTATACTTTCTCTTACATAACTATAATTACATTATATGTATATATACATATATATATATATATGTATATATATATATATATATATATATATATATATATATATCATCCAAACAGCACACAATATTTATGATAAAGATTCATAAATATTTATGAATATATATTTTTTTTAATATTATATAAATATTTTGAAAATGTTTTATATAAAAATCTTTGTTTAACATATTATTAAAACATAGATTAAATATTTCATATAATATTTATGGTATGTAAAGATAAATATTTATAGTAATTATTTTGTAAATATTTTTAACTAAATTTATTAGTTCTTTCATTTACCGCTATATATGTGACGTATCTTTCTCGTATTTGATTTCGTCGTGAAAATTATATAAGGCTGACAAAAACGGAAATTAATAAAGTTAAAAATGTTATAACATTATTTCTATTTTTGAGCTACATTCTGCAACAGAATGTCTTTTAACAAATAAATTTACGTATATATCGATGTGTACGTCAATTTATTTGTTAAACTATTCTGTTGCCTAAGTATATATTCAGTGTATATTATAATTTTGTATTCTATTTTAAAATAAATGTTTAATAAATTACTTATAAACATTTTTTACACATTTTTAACTTTTTATAATGGCTAATAGAGTTTGAAAAACACAAAAACATCTAATCGACCAAATTTTAGATTAGACTATATCAACCGATCGTTTTGATTAAAAAATCATTGATTATATCTTTTCAACTCATGATTTCTTACTGACAATGAGTGTTTATTAAAGAAAATATAAATTTAAAAAATCTGTATTATTAATGATTTAATAAATATATTTATAATATTTATCATAATATTTATCGTAAATATTTTTTTATATTTATGGTAAATATTTATAATCTATTGAATCTAAGACTTCAAAAACATTTATAAAATATTTATGATAAATATTTATAAAATATTAAAATAATTATTATAAATATTCTATAAATATTTTATAAATATTCTGTGCTGTCTGGATATATATCACAATCGTATTGTTACGTTCTGACTTGTGGAAAGGAATGTCAACAGGAGGGCGTAACATATATTTGTCTCAATAGTGAGTGCTCTCGAGTCGAACGAATTTGTAAAGATCGCCGAACAGGTCAACGACCAGAAGGGCTGCTTTAATTCAGTCGACAGGTATAGTTCGTTCGTTGGCCCCTTAAAAGAATTTAATCTTTATTATGCAGGAACGGACCCTAAAGCAATCTCGGAATGGAAGGAAATGGAAGCGAAATCAGTTAAGTATTACAAATAAATAATAAATTCATTAATAAAAATTTAATTTATTTTCTACCTTAGAAATTTTCTTTTAAATGTGAGAAAACGCATATTTACATAAGAATATAATCTGTTTCTTTTCTTAACCAAATATATAAGCATATGTGTGTATATACTTATGTTGTGTGTCGGATTCGCGAATGGTGAAAGAAAGAGTGTAACGTTAAGACATATGAA